GTAGACCCTCAGATGTTGAATGGCCGTGCTATTAAAATGATTTATATAATTCACGTCAAGTGGCCATTATTATTAGCCAGCATGGACAATGGCTGTCAGGGATGTTTTGTAGCACAAAATCTGACTGAACGGATAAATAACGGAAAATAACGCTAAATTTAATTCGTTAGGCTAATTTATCTACAGCTCGTTAGAGGTAGAATTATTTAGTGAAATAAAGTAGCGCCAAGATTATATTTATTGAAATGTATTCGAATTAATTAACGAGAGAGAGAGAGAATGCGCAAGCTAGTGTGAAGCTTGCGAACATGTGAAGCTTGTTGGTTTAATTACAAAAACTGCGAAGTTATCACCTCTTTGCTAAGAAATATAATGTAGCTTTTAGCTGTTATATTTATACAATTCACGGGCAGGCAGGGGTTGAAAATATGGAAGAAAATTAATGACAAATGTCTTTGAAACAGAAACGCATGTTGAATTGCACTAACTGAAAAAATAATGCATTAATTAACAGTGCTTGCATTTTAATGCCTTGTATTTCTAGAGCTTGCATTTTTAGGTCCTGAAATTTAACATAGTTGTTTATTTACGCTGTGACTATTTCAATTCAAAATATTTCACACACATTTTCATCATTAACAATTAAATAATTCGTATTCACCTTCCAGAATTCACTTTCCAAATATTCAATCTGTTTAAAAATACGATGTATAATATTCGACCGGCACATTTCGGTCTATTTTATTTCACTTTACAAATTCGCTTCCACAAATACGGTGGTTCAAATTCAGCAGAAAATTCGGCATTTCACATCCGGGAGCTGCAGGAATAGCAGTAGAGCACCAATGCATGATCTCCATCTGCTTTCAGTCGCTCACCAGCAGGTGGCGCAAGCGGCTGTTGAGCCAATTGTTATTGACTTACATTTCAAAATAAAACTTGATAAATTAAACATTGTTTCTAGTTCATCTAAAATAAAATATCCTATATAAGTGTGGCCGTCTTGATGTAATTCTAATATACTAAGGAAAAAGACAATGCCAAGACATCTAATAAAAAAGGATTCTTTTATTCCTGACTGAGCCTCATAGGAAACTCAGCATTAATGTTTTGTTCGGGGAAAAGTTTTTTTTTTCAGGATTCCGATCCAGTTGAACAAGAGAAGTCGTATAAAACAGAATAACAAAAAACAAACACCCAATTCACTTCAATGGGCACAGAAAACGAAATAAGGTAGCAGAAGAAATGTAAAGAATAAAAATAAGTTCTTTACAGTAATAACCCCTAATCAAAACACCAGATCACAAGCCCAATTTGACTTGAAATAATGCAACCAATGTTAAAGAACCAATAAAGGTGTGCAAAACAACGGCAGTGGCCTGTATGTGCCTGATAAAACAGACAAAAACAAAAAACAACAGCATTAGCATACATGAACAATCTGCACATTTTGCCACCTAAATGCACCACCCACATTATACACAGTTCACATTTTAACCTCTTTTAAACATATTAATCAGTAAATAGACTAAAGGTAACAGTATACACGTTATACAGGGTACAATACTTTTCATGCCATATAGGTAAACACACTTTGGGAGAAATGAATGAAAAACTCACTCTTATATGAGACTCTGGATTATCAATCACGTGGAAACTGGCACGTGCGAACTCACATCATTGTTCTCCCCTCTTAACAGTATAATACACAACAATTTCTGCATGTTCCTTCCATACATGTATTACACTGTATTATTTTACATTATAACAGTCTTCAAAACATATTTTAAATTAACTTACGCTCAATCTCCGTTGAAGTAGGCCTGAATCCCCTCCCCCACCGGAGTTCTCTCATGTGCAGCAACAAAACACTAATATAAACACTGAATTAAGGCATCCACTCTGTGCAGTCCCACAACTGAAACCACCACAGGTCCACGAGTTGATAACCAGCCTGGATTATATCAGTTTAACAATTTTTAACAACTATTTTCTCCTCACTTGTAACTGCTGCTTCTATCGGCGCTATCTCTGTTGCCCTCTGACGCACACTCTCTCTCTTGTGCGCATGCTCAAACTCTTAAAGGAGACAGCACGCATAACTGCATCATAGCGAAAACTTAAAGGGGAATCACCAGGGGAATTAAATATTGGACTATTCCTGCCCCGGTTACACTCTCCCCTGCCTACAGTCAACGTCCTCGATGACTGCAAACACCTTTCAATCATCCATTACTCCTTGTAGTTTACCGGATGTGTACAAGACCATACCCGCTAACACTTGGGAAAGGACATCGGGACTGAAGGACACAGCATTACAAGCAGATTTAGGCAGTCTGTTTGGATTACCATGAACACCAGCTGTTGGCCGCTGGGTCCTGCGTGGCGTAGGATGGGGTACAGCACTTTTTTCTCTGGGCTTTCGGGAAACAGGAACTGGCCTAGCCAAAACCACATCCAAAGGTGAATCAGTTCTTTCGGTATCAGGCAGATAGAGCTCTTCAACAGCACTCGCCTCATTATTCCCTTGTGCATCATTATATATTCCTTGTGCTTCTTCCACTCCAGGCCCAGCACAATTGTCTGGTTCCACATCTGGCTGCTGTGATAGGTCTCACTTTTCTCCGTGGCATTGGGACTGGTCTCGGACAGGGCCTAATGTCGGATCTATGTACTCTTTTTACAGGACCGCCTCTCACTGGCTCCACAGTGTAGGTCGTACCATGCACCTCCACCACCTTATAGGCTGTGGGTGCCCAGGCGTCCTGTATCTTGTTCCTTCCTGGGGGACGATATCGTAAGAACACCTGCTGACCAACTGCAACCTCTGGACAGTATACCCCACTCTCACGCTTGGCAACTCGGTCTGCTGCCTTCCTTTCAGCATACTCACGTGCCCGGGTATGAGCATCCCGAAGCCGCTCCTTATGGACAGACAACCAGGCAGGCTCCTTCTCTTGCACTGGCTCCTGGCCCAACAAGGCATCTACTGGTAAGTGTGGCTGCATACCAAACAGCATGTAGTAAGGGGAGTAACCAGTGAAGGAATGAGGTGTCACATTATAGGCGTACACCAGCTCAGGTAAGTATTCTGGCCATTTTCGTTTCTTGTCAGGTGGCAAGGAACGCAAAAGGTCATGCAGAGTGCTGTTAAATCTCTCGCACTGTGCATTTCCCTGGGGGTGATGTGGCGTAGTGCGGGACTTTCTCACCCCATACAGTTTACAGAGCTCTGCAATAACGGCACTCTCGAAGTTCCTCCCCTGGTCTGAATGAAGACGCTGAGGCACACCGTACTTGAGGAACCATTCCTTCAGAAGGATCTTTGCGGTAGTGTCCGCCTTCTGATTGAGGGTGGGGAATGCCTGGCTGAACTTAGTGAATACATCCGTCACAACCAGGACATTCTCCTGTCCATCCGACGCAGGTTCCAATGTGGTGAAATCCATTGCGACCACTTCCAGTGGATGAGAAGCCAAGAATGGGGTCCAAGGTGCCTGAATCTTGGGCTGCGGCATTTTTGCTAGCACGCACCGCTGGCACTCCTTCACCCACTTATCCACAGCTTTATACATCCCAACCCAATAACAACGCTGCTTGAGCAGGGCCAGCGTCCTCTCCACGCCTTGATGCCCCATCTGGTCATGAACATTTCGCAACACCATTTCGACCAGTCATGTAGGGAGCAACAACTGTTGGCATTCCCCATTGAACACATCGTCAATCGCTCTGTACATCAGCCCTTCTTTCTCTTGGATCTTGTCCCACTGCTTAAGCAACATCCTCAACGGTCTGGACAAGTGCTTTCTCTCACGATTTGTGGGTTTCCTCTTCTTGTCCCAGAAACTCTTGAGCACACTGATGGTCGGATCTGCATCCTGAAACTGACGAAGCTCATCCTTTGTGTATCCAGGTAATGTTGGGGTATTCTCCATGGGTCCCCCTCCAGACTCTCTATGCTCTATGGCTGCATGTAACAGTCCTATTTCTCCCTCTCTAGGACTCGCCACTAGCCCTGCCAGGTCAACTTCCAGTGCAGTCCCTGTACAAAGCCCACTGCAAATAGTCACACAGCCATCGTACTCTGAATCCTCAGTTACCACCTCCATCGCCTCCAGTCCTGGTCTTCAAGAGAGAGCGTCAGCTGCAGTGTTACACCGTCCAGGGCGGTACTGGACTTTGAAATCGAATATCGCAAGCTGTGCAGCTCACCTCTGTTCAATGGCACCCAGCTTAGCCGTGTTGAGGTGGCAGAGCGGATTGTTATCTGTTAGAACAGTAAATCTGGATCCTAGCAGGTAACTCCTGAATTTCTCCACCACAGCCCATTTGAGTGCCAGGAGCTCTAGCTTCATACTACTGTAGTTCCTGTCATTTCGCTCTGAGCCCCTCAACCTCCGGCTTGCATAGGCTATCACAGTCTTACTTCCCTCTTGCTGCTGGTATAGCACAGCACCCAATCCCAGGTTACTGGCGTCGGTCTCCAGCACAAACGGTAGGGTGAAGTCTGCGTAGCCTAGTGTCGGAGCACAGGTAAGCTTCTCCTTGAGGTGCTCAAAGGCTTGCTGGCACTCCACTGTCCAAGAGTCCTTAAACAACTTGTTGGCCTGAGCAACACTCCCTTGGTGGACACAAGTGTTTACAACATCATGGAGCGGACCGGCCACCTTAGAGAAGCCCTCAATGAATCTCCGATAGTAACTGCAGAATCCTAAAAAGGATCGCAGCTCCTTTAGAGTGTTAGGGATTGGCCACTGCTTCACTGCACTCACTTTGTCTGGGTCTGTAGACACCCCTTGAGCAGATATCACATGCCCCAAGAACTCTACCTCGGACTGCAGGAAGTGGCATTTTTCCACCTTAACCTTGAGTCCGGCCTCCCTCAACCTTTGTAACACAGTCTCAAGCCTCACTAAGTGTCCCTCGAATGTACTTGAGTACACAAGCAAATCGTCCAAATAGACGAGTACCATTTGAAAGACCAGGTCACTCATTATGGCCTACATGAGACGTTGGAATGTCGCTGGCGCATTATATAGGCCAAACGGCATCCGCTGGTACTCATACAGGCCAAATGGTGTAATGAAAGAGGTTTTGTGGCGGTCCTTCTCATGAACTGCTACCTGGTGATAGCCACTCGCTAGGTCAATAGACGAGAACATCTTGGCCTTACTCAAAGCATCCAGACTCTCATCTATTCGTGGCAACGGGAATGCATCACGCCTAGTTTTACAGTTCAGCTTCCGTTAGTCCACGCATAGCCTAAGACTCCCGTCAGTCTTCCGGACTAACACCACCGGAGATGCATACGAACTGGAGCTGTCTTGGATGACACGCTTTTTGAGAAGTCCAGAGATATGGTCCTTCACCTCCTGGAATTGGTTTGGTGGTATACGTCGGTATGACTGTGAGACAGGAAGGTCTTCGTTCAAGGGAATCTCATGCTTTACCAGTTCAGTATAACCGAGGTCTTCATCAGTGATGGCAAACATGTCCAGGTATCCCCTCAGAAGCGCCTTCAGCTCTGCCTGCTGGGCAGGGGTACGCCGATCTGCACTTTCTCCAAGGGACACTGCAGGTCACTGCTAACCCCCGTCATTGACCTCTGGTTTACCATAACTTCCTCATGATCTGCAGAGATTCGATGGAATCTAACTTCGCAGGAGCTACTCTCAACACGACGACCCTGGCCAAGTACCCCTAGTTTCACCTTTGGTGGCAACCACACACCTTCTGGGGACAAGTTTACTACCTGCACTGGGAATACCCGCCTACCGGGTGATACCAAGGTGGGAATCAGGACCAAGCCACTTGGCAATGATGCCTTACCTGGCTCAAACAACCTTAAGTTTCTGTTTTCAGCTAGTTCTTTATGTGCTCTGGCCTGAATTGTAGCCACTGAGGCAGCAGGTACGTACGACTTACAGTGGGTACGGAAAGTATTCAGACCCCCTTAAATTTTTCACTCTTTGTTATATTGCAGCCATTTGCTAAAATCATTTAAGTTAATTTTTTTTCCTCATTAATGTACACACCGCACCCCATATTGACAGAAAAACACAGAATTGTTGACATTTTTGCAGATTTATTAAAAAAGAAAAACTGAAATATCACATGGTCCTAAGTATTCAGACCCTTTGCTGTGACACTCATATATTTAACTCAGGTGCTGTCCATTCCTTCTGATCAACATAGATGGTTCTATCCCTTCATTTGAGTCCAGCTGTGTTTGATTATACTGATTGGACTTGATTAGGAAAGCCACACACCTGTCTATATAAGACCTTACAGCTCACAGAGCAAATGAGGATATCAAGTTCAACATACCCAAGGTAGGGAAGAGGCAACCCGTTGGCGGCAGTAATCTTTAACCACCTGCTTGTACAATGCATGTCTTTGTCTTCCCCATGAAGATGTTTTTTAAAGAAGTTCTCTGTCAAAGTACTCACGTTACTGCCAGTGTCTAACAGGCACTGGATGGCTACCCCCCCAGCGTGAATTTCCACTTCTGGGCACTTGCCCATTTTCATGGAAGCACTGCCCAGTGCATTGCCTGGCTATGTGCCCGACGCCCTCACATCTCAAACAAATGGGTTGGCCATCCCGGGTATACCTCGGCTTAAACTTGGGCTTACTAGGTTTCTCACAAGTTGGGTCAGACCTCTGAATCGTGAGATCTGAGATCACGTTGGTAAGGTCCCCGATTGCTTTCCCTTGTTGTGTAATTACCTTAATTACCTCTTGTAGGTTGTAGGGCAAGTCATTTGGTACAGTGGCGGTCATCCTTGCATGCTCTACACTTTCCTCCACACTCACTAGGTTTCGGTTTCGGGCCACATTAGCTGGACGAGGTCTCTCTTCTGAGCACCACAAAAGGGCCTCCTCACGAACTTCGAATAATGTAGCATGAGGTCGCTCTCTGACCACCTTGCGCAGTTCCCTCCGGAGTGCTGAATCCCTCACCCCTTCTATAAACTGGTCTCTCAAAACCAACTGCACATTTGGAACACAATGTGGTGCTTGTTGCAGTGCAGCATTTAACATCAATGACAGTGCATGTGAAAAATCACGAAAATCCTCACCTTCCAATTGTTTC